TTCCAGAACTATCCCGGTTCCAACTTTGCACATAAACCATTAGAATGCCTCAAAAATTCCACTCTCAATATCCAAACACCTCCCGTGCCTCCTCTTACGGAGAGCCTGCTCCGACAGTCTTTTTCATGGGACAGAACCCTAGTCTTTGGTTCAGAAAATGTGGTCAGCAGAGCCCTGCTGACCCCAGTGTCAGGGAGAACAACCCACAGCCATCGGGACTCTCTGTGATCACTGATTTGGTAGCTGCCCAGCAGTCACTTCTGTTGAGTACAGCCAAAGATGGCTACACCACTGGGAGTATCACCCACTGAGAGACACATGGTGAGTAGATGGGTTCAGCCCTCACCCGCCGTCTATACAGCCTTCCTGGAGAGGCAGCATGGCTAGAGAGTGGCTGTGAGGCCTAAGCACTCAAGCAGCACCTGGTGGCCAGGAAGGGCCACATTAATTTGGAATGAGAGACACCCAGAGACATCTCTGGTACAAAGTACTCCAATGCAGAGAGAAGAAGGAAAAATCAGCACTTAGTCTGACACATGGTAAGGCCTGCCTTACTCAGCAAATAGGGAGCACCCCAATTACTCTGAACGCCAACTACCTTGGAGGCGTAATGCAAGCAGTAAGACAGACCCGTCCCTGTGTATTTCCTGGCAACCATCCAAGGTGCTTAATAATGACCTTCAACTTGACAGATCTCCAATCACATGGGGGTGGGGGCTGACTGCCAGGCATTTTTTAGAGCAGTTTAATTAAAGTGGGAAGACCACTCATAGTGTGGCTGGCACCATCTCATGACCTGGGGCCCAGACTACATAAAAAGGAGAAAGTGAGCAAAACACCAGGGGTCAGCCATCTCTCTCTGCTTTCTGACTGTGGAGCCAATGTGACCAGATAACTGAAGCTCTTGCAGTCATGACTTTCCTGCCATAATGAACTATGTGATGGGAGCAGAATAAACCTTCCTTAAGCTGCTCTTGTCAGGTATGTGGTCAAAACAGTGAGAAAACTAACACAGTATGGATGTGTGGCTGCCACCCTTACTTGTATCTAAGTTGATCCTACTTGAAAGCAGTTAGGAGACAGGTGAGTAGACAGAGACACACATGCACAAGTTCATATGGTCTTCAGAAGCCCGCCGTACACTTTCACAGCCCAATTCAGCTTCCAGTTCTGCAGCATTAGGGCCTGACACATAGTCTAGACTTAATAACAACAATAAAAAATCTGCATTTGTTACTGGACCTGCACTTATGAGAGCCTTGGGATAACTAGATAACTTGGAGGTAGAGGTGGCTTCAGGTGCTGACACTAGCAGAAGGGCTCGAGATGCAAGACTTCTGGGTCCTAGGAGCAAAGGCCAGATCAAACTTCAGCCAGGGGACTAAGAAGAGCTTCACCAAGTCTCCTCCACCAAATGATAGGAGACCTCTGTAAAACGAGAGCTGAAGTCACTGGACCCAGACAACAGCAACATGCATTCGATCCAGTCCTTTCTTATCTACAATATGAGGGGAAGGTAGCAGAGGACCAGCCCCCATGCCCACCAGCCCAGCCAGGCTAAGGTATGTAGAATACCATCAGGATTCCAGCCTTGGCAGAACCTGTGGAGAGAAATGGGGCCAGGCTTTGCTTTCCAGGAACTGACTGACTGGTGCAGGAAGGTAAGCCCTGCGATTATGGTCAGAGAGGGGACCACAAATCACCAATCCCTTCCCAACATGCCAGTCCCTTGAAAGGAAAGAGAGTATTCCATGTCTTCTGGTCATTCCGGGAGGTTATTTATACTCATTCTAGAAAACAAGTGCCCCTTGCATTCATGGACCTATGTGTAGCTCAGAAGGCCACAGTGAGTCCTCTTGCTCTGGTCTCACTCAGTCTTTGCTAGCTCACATATGTATGTGTGTTGGTGGGGGTAGGGAGTGGGGCATAACACTATAATTAAACTTCCAGCCAATAAAAACTAAGAGCAATTACCTACTACCCTAGGACTGAGACCGAATATCAACCTAAAACTCAAACTTCTTCCTGGGATAAGATTTGCCTATGACCTTGTCTCTCTGGCATGGAGTTGAGACCTCAGCAAGCATATTAAAAGCTATCATACCTTTGCTATGAGATCAGTCAGGTAAAATGAGGGCTTCAAGCTGGGATCTTGAATTTAGCTCGTAGGTAAGCTGGGAGCCAAGAGCCACACACACTAAGATCTGGCCTGAGTTGCAGGGAAGTGCACCAAGATTCCAGGCTGGGGGGGTCCCTTGGCCTATTCACCTTGCTTCCCTACCCATAGCCCTGCAGCTGCCAAACAGAAACATCTGTTCAAAGGCTCACCTCATCTCTTCCAAATGCCCTCAGCAACCTGACCTCCCGTCTGCCACTCATGTCTAATTTGCATACACTAGTCTTTGGAGGAGAAGACAAATCACCAGAGACAACCCAGATCAATATAGAGTATTAGGCACGTTTTTATTCCATTCTAATTCTCGGCAGATTGGTATTCCATTAACTGTATGTGGGGATTTATGGGAGTGCTCATACACTAGAATATTTAACTAGAATGGCCTACTCCCTGTCAGATAATAGCTTACTGTTGTTAATTTTCAACTAGGCAATCTCAGGAAGGCTTCCAGTTTCCAATACAGTCCAGATCTTGATTTAATCGTCAGGAAAGACATCTATGTGAGGTCTAGCCACACATGACAGTCTTATCCAGAAGAAAAAGCCCTGTCCCTGGAACCAGAAGCCTTGGGTTCCTCCATCCCAGTTACAATCAGGACAATTACAGGTGCCCGCTCAGAGCCTCAATTTCCTCCTCTATAAAATGGGAGTGACACCACCCTCTCAGGGAGAACTGTAAAACCTAAACGAGATGTTCATACACACTGCACAACTCTACGAGGTAACTAACTGCAAAGGTTCGTTATTATCATAAAAAGCCCCAGATGAAATTCTCAGATAGCCTAGGCTAGACAAAAAGCAGAGCGTATCACAACTAATTCTACTGAAAGGGGAGACACGTCAACCCAGACAATACATGGTGGCATTTCTGGTTGGCACATGGAAAGGGCTGCAGCAAGAACCAATTGAGCAAATACCAGGGAGGCTGCTTTGCACCCTATAATGCACAAGGGGCACCCACCGCAAAGAAGACACAAACCCACTGTGAGATGCCGACAAACCTTGATCCAAGTACTTAAGGTTAGGCATGGGAGCTCTGCAGCATCGGCATCTTCCCAGACAGGCTTTCCAACTCATTTGCAAGGCGGGTCATCTTGCAGAAACAGTTCTTTCTGCAAGTGGGGACCAAGTGTCAACTTCTGGAGTTTCTTAACTCCAGACTGCCTTTAAACAAGAGGCTCTCTGCTCCCCACCGTTCTGTTCAGTTGCTTTTCCAAAGCCTCAGCAGACCTTCTCCGGGGCACAAACACAGGCTCCGAAAATGCTTGCCTAATTCTAATTTCCTGACGAAATGGGAGCCACGAGGGTCTCTAACTGAATTAAAATCACATCACGCCAACTGCTCGCTTGCTTTGTGCCGGGCACAGAGCCAAACACCTCCACATCATTTATCCTACTTAATCCACCACCAACCAGGCGAGGTGGGCATTATTACTGCCTGCATGCAAGGGAGGAAATGGAGGATCAGGGAGGTTAAACTACTCGTCCAAGGTCACCAACTGGCCAAGGTAAAGAGCCCAACTTGAACCCAGGTCTCGCGTTTCCTAACCACAAGCTCCCTGCACCTTCATGGAACACCAGGTGCCAAGTTGTCTTAACTTCCCATGAATTTTTTAAAGGCAACCCTCAAGTTCGTAATAAGTTTGGGTGGCAGCAACCGGGGGCGAGGG